GAGGCTGCACCGGGGACCTCTCCCCTCTGAGGAGGAGGAGGCTGCACTGGGGACCTCTCCCCTCTCAGGAGGAGGCTGTGGGGGGCTGTCGCACTGAGTGACCGGGAGACAAACAGAACATAAGAATACACCCTAGGAAACCTTCCTTTTCATATACAATCTAAACACCCTTTGAAAAATGTACTAGTACACCAAAGGAAATATATCTACACGTTTATGGCTGAACTTGAGATTCTGAAAGTAATTAGCACTCAATAAAATAAGTTTTTCTTGGGGCTGGGGATGTGGCTCAAGCGGTAGCGCGCTCGCCTGGCATGCGTGCGGCCCGGGTTCGATCCTCAGCACCACATACAAACAAAGATATTGAGTCCAATGAAAACTAAAAAATAAATATAAAAAAAAGTCTCTCTCTCTCTTTAAAAAAAAAATTAAAATAAGTTTTTCTGTGGGCTCCTAAGAAAATCCTAGTAGCACTGCATATTCTGTGGGTTTAGGTCGGATCTTTGCTCAGCTTGAGTGTACAATGGCCATAAGATGACAGCATGGAGAACTCACTGCTTATCAAGATCTGGGCTGGGGATCTTCTCATGTTATCTACTGAATGTGTACAAAACTCAGACAGTTGATTGTCCCCACTGGCTCTCACGATACCCCTGAGTCACGATGGAATGGCCTATTATCTCCACTTCTCTGATAGACAGGCTGCGGTTGTCTGGCCCCGGCCAGCTAAGTGTCACCAAGAAGCGAGGGGACCGGTGCCCCCGACTCCTGCCCAGCGCTCTCTCAAGGCCTGGCTGTGCTCACCCCCTGCTTCTCTCGCTTCTTGCAACTCTAGGGCCGCGTGAGAAAGAAAGGGGCTCATCACAGTCTCCACGCACAGAGCACGTCCTTCGAGCAGACGCAGGACAGTTAGGCACCAGGCAAACGTGAGGACAGGCCCTCCTGCGAGGACTCTGGTGGTGGGGGAGGCCACACCTGAGACGACTCAGGGTCCCCCACCCTGGTCTTGCTGCCTTGTGAGTGGGCTGACCCACAGAACACGTGGGGATGCCACGTCTGTCATTAGGTCATTGAATCTGTGACATCCAACCTGCTGACACTGGCTCGCTGCTCCGATGCGGCCATGTCTGGGGCTGTCCTCTGAAGAGGCTTCTGTGGCCAGGGACTGGGCCAGGAGCCCACGGTGCAGGAGGAGCTGAGTCCTGTTCGTGGGGGGACAGGGAGCTTGGAAGCGGCTCCTTACCCAGTGGACCCCTGCAGTCCTGTGAAAGCCTCTGAGTCAGAGGAGCCGCTAAGCTGACCCAGATCCTGACCCACAGAGGCCAGGCGCTACTGATGCTGCGTGCGTCAGGCCACTGTGGGTGGCAGGTTGGCTGTGCAGCAGCAGAGAGCCGAACAGACCCGTCCCACGCCGACCATCCTCCAACTCAATGACCAGGCCATCAACTGGGCTTCGATTTAGACGAGATTTGGGGGAAAAGCTATTTGGAACAGAACAAAGCTCCACTGGCCACAGAACAGACCCACATTCACGCCTTTAAACTCTGCGGGAGATTCTTCACAATGTTCAGGGGCTTTTTATTCTTATTCTCTAAAGGAAAAATATTTTCCAGATATAATCTCTCTTTCCTTTTAGAAAATCACCAAATGCATTAATTTTTAAAAATGATCTAAAATATTGCATTTTAAAATTCCTTTTTATTTTTGCTTCCCCCCAAGAGTTTTGAAAACTGTGTTTGTCAAATATCCCTCAGCATAAAGGAACATGATGTTCTAATTAAATAAGTTTATTTCGAGGCAATTTTTACCTATTAATAGTCAGGATGGTTTTCAAGATAAAAGTTAGTGTTCCCCCAACATCTAGCTGAGTTTCAAGAGAATCCTCCAGATTCAGTACATTATGAAATGGTAAGACATTTTATCTACAAGAGAACAAAACAAACTCACTTAGCAAACATTAGCTCTTTGGGACAGCAATGATTTTTTGAGAAGAAAGAAGACATTGGACATCAACACACTTTGCCAACTGTAAGTCTGGACCACAAAAATGAAAACATGGTTTGGATTATTTTTCCACACTGCAGGCAAGTATCTCAGCCTAGAAAATGGAAATCTGTGCTTGGGCTTACTCTTTCTCAAACCTACTTGACAACTGTGTTTTTCCCAAATTCTTAAAGTGCAAGGAACCAGCCTGGGACTTCATTCCCAAGGCTCCTGGGAGCAGGATGTTCATTATCTCACAAGGTATCGGGTCCCACTATTGGGTCCTCTGGTGACCAAGCGACTGTCTAGTTATAGAACCTCAAGCCTTCTGAGCAAAGAACTGCCCCCTCCTGGGACAGCCAAAGGAGAGTCCTTCTGCTGAAGTCGTTCCTTACTCGGGTGTACAGTGACGGTTTGGGGGGTGTCCAAGGGAGGTGAAGCACATGACACAGGCACGATCTAGGGATGCCAGGAGGCGATACCCAGGCACTCCACACCCAGAGCCAGCTGAGGGTGAGCACAGGAGACGCAGCGTCCCAAAGCTAGCCACGGTCCTGGAGGGTGTCAGGTTCACCAACTGCACCCAGTCAAACAGATCAAGATGCCCAGTTTTTATTTCTCTATCCAGACTCTTATAGATAGATAACAGACGTTCTAGAAAGCAAAAATAAACAAACAAACTGAACATGGAACTGAAAAAGTCTGCACTTGGAGGAGTAAATCTGAAACACCCAATAAGTAATAGAGCCATCAAGTCAGATTCAGAAACTACATTTGGAGGAACAAAGTTGGGAGAGAAAAGAGGAGGAAGAAGGAAGGAGGGAGGAAAGAAGGAAAAGAGACCCAGGCTCGGGGGAGCTTTAGGCTGCTTCTCGAGCCCAGGGTGAGTTTCACAGGGAATTCTGGCAGAATCTGACGAGGTGTCGATATACAGTGCTGAGGACAGCGTTTCTATAAAACGGGAGCAACAGCGCCGTTCTCATCAAGCACGGGCACCAGGAGGCAATGCACGCGGTGTGTAGGGGGATGGAAGTGCCTTCTGTTGTCAGGGTGAAGGGCATGGTTTCAGATAATGCAGGAAGGGTGCCCAGCAAGGAGAGGTGGACCTCTGGGTAGAGGCCGTCTCCCCAAGAAGACCTGAGAGACGGCTCCTAAGTGATGTCTCTTCCTCTGCCAAGGAAGTTGCTGTACCTTCCGACTCTCCTAGGTGGCAGTATGACACAACCCCAGGACCACAGAGGATTTCAGGACTCAAAACTCAGGAAGAGTAAGGTTCAAGGAAATATAATTAATGAGGCATCAGAACAGAGATGCGGATTTTTTTTTTTTTGTAGACAGAAAAGGGAGGTACTCACTTGTTCCACGTTATATGAAAAAAGTGCGTATTTTTTATCTGGAGATATTTCGTATCTGATGGCTCTTAATGATTCCTGAAAGAAAAAGAAAAACAGAATTATTTATAGAGTGTTGTATGTAACAACTCAGAATCCTGTAGTAGAACGCTCTGATGATGCCATTTTCAAAATCAGCTAATGAAACTGGTGAGCAGCCACCTGGCCGATATCTACTAAAGATGGCGGCATTGGTGGGTAAATAGTGGAGTTGTGTGCACACCATGAGGTCACTCAGCCATGAGGAAGAATGGGATCACGTCATCTGCAGGGAAATGGAGGGAACTTGGGAAACTTATGTTACATGAAATAGCTAAACTCAGAGGGGCAAGTCTCATAGTCTTCTCTCACATACGGAGGCTAGAGGGGAAAAGGAAAAGAACAGGGTGACGGGGGTCTCCTGAGATCAAAGGGGCGGGCAGAGGAAGGGGACGGGAGGGAGGAGCGGGGGAATCCTGGGGAATGACGTTGGCCGTGTGTGCATGTGTGAACCTCCCACCATATGTACATCTCCGCGGCACCAGTGAAACAGTGGAAAAAGAAAAACTGGGCGCAGCCTTTCTTGTTAGCAGAACAGCATTTAGTTCACTGATGCTTTTTCAAAATTCAACACATCAATGGTTACTGTGTCTACCAAAACAGACTGATAGACCCAAGCTCAAAAACCACCTTCACTGGCAGACCCCCGCCGCAGGCCTGCGAGAGAGCCTCTGCTTCCTTCTCACACCCCGCGGCATGTATCAGGCAGAGTTGCCACTAAAACAGAACCACGTGGCACACACGCCTTGGCGCCTTTCCTGACCCTGTGTGGGCGTCCCCACGAGTCAGCACAGAGGACTTGGTGTCACTTTTTATGTCATATGTCTTCACTGCACAACAGGTGGTCACCAACCACGTCACTTTGCCTGGCCTCGGCCAGGCGTCCTCGCTGCCGGCCTGCTGTGAGTCACTCTGCACGTGCTCAGGTGATCACACCAGGAAGCAGGGAGACGGGGCAGGTGACGTCACACTGCTGTTTCCTGATGCAGCGAGACCCTGGAGGCGGTGACACGTAGGGATTTGGTCTGTCTGGAGTGGCGCTCGTTGAACACCACCCTTGACACGTGTGCACTCATTCACTCGGTCCTCGCTCACGGTGACAGTCTTGTTCCTCTTGGTGGTTATACCCCACGAAGTCACCAGAAACACAGTCTGGACACTGAGCCATCGCCCCTGGGAGAATCATGGGCCTGGGTTCCAGCCAGCCTTCCCGTGCCCAGTGACACTGCCCAAGGCCTGGCCTGGCCTTCTGTGTGCTTCTGGCATGCTGTTGGCCCCGGGCACTGGCCCCGGCCCATGGCGCCCAGCGAGGCTGACCACACTGGTGCTTTCTGTGAGATGCATCACTCCTTCTCCTACCCAGGATGCTGGAAGGCACTTCAGCCCTTGCCTGGGGGCCCTTTTAACAGTGGACATGCCAAAGAACACAGCAGGTGGAGAAGCCCAGCGCTCCACAGGACACCCACGAGTGCACCACGCACAGTTGTAGGCAGCAGAGCGCTGTGAGGGGGAAGCTGACCCTCCTGCGGGCTCACCCGGAGCCCCAGCCCCAGACGGCCCCTCTTTCCTCCTGCTGTGCTGAAGGAAGGCAGGAGTGTGTGCTACGGGGGATACAAATAACTTTGGTCACGAAGGCGAATCTGCAGATACAGACCTTTGACTCAGGACACCAGAGGGATGGACGGTGCCTCCTGACAGCAGCAATCACCAACCTGTGAAGAAGGACCCGCCAAAGGCCTTCCCGGAGGGGTCTAAACTCTGTAGGATGACAGCCGTCCAAGACTGGGAGTTTGTAGGTCAGCCACCTTAGGCTGGGAGTGAGGGTCAGCAAGGATTTTCTTTGCTGTTTTCATTTTTGATTCAACCTACTGCCCGACTGCTTTCCAGAAACACGCTAGGCATTCGCACCCCCCTGTGATGTCCAGAGGCTTCCGTCCTTGGGAGCACAGGTGCTTTACCTCAGTGTGGCCCCAAGGGTGTTAGAGGGTGCTGCATTGACAGTCGAGGGCCCATTTCCCCACTCACAGGGTGCTGGCTCCCTATCTATGGTGCAGATGACGGGGTTTTGTCCTCAGAAACTCCCCCCACACCCCCGGCTACCCCTTGAGAACTGTTTCCCGTGCCCCGATTTCTCTCCCCTGTTCTCTCTCAAACCCACTCTCCCAGTTCACCTGCCAATCAACCAAAATCGCTCTTCTCCAGCTTCCTGGGCTCACCCCCCCACACCCCTCCTCAAAGCCCCTTCGGCATCTGCCCTGGCCTTGGGCACGTGCCCTGGCTCCTGGTCTCCCTCCCAGCTCTTCCCTGCTTCCCTTGGTCTCCCTGACCTTGGACTAACCCTGGGGCCCCTCACTTCTCTGGTAAGAACTACCTCCTAGGTGACGCATCCAGACTCAAGGCCCTAAAAACCAGGCTCCGCTGAGAATCCTGCCAGGCCGACTACACGCGCGGGCTTGGCCTTGACCCTAGACTGCGCATCTGCCTGCCTCCCTGAAGCTCCCCTGGTGTCCAGAGGGCATCAGCATGCATACCCCAGCTCCTCCCCAACCCAGCTTCTGGCACCTTCCGCCTCCCCTCCAGGAGGAGCACCCATCCCTGGTGGCTGACTGCCTCATTTTCCTCACTCTGCTCTGCACGCCTCCTGTCCGGGGGGTCAGAAATTGCTACCGGTTTCCAGTTGAGGCAGAACCGACCCCCACCCCGAGGCTGGGCACTGCTCTGGAGATGCTGCAGTGGACTTCTGGCTTTCCAGACCCTCACTGCCCGAGTGGCATCCGGTCCCACCACAGCCATCAGGGCCATCTGCTGGTGTGGAAGTCACTGCCCGGCTCCCACGGCTTCCCACCCCACTGGAGGAGAAGGCCAAGTGCGGGCCTGTAGGCACGGCCTGGCTGCCCTCTCCCAGCCTGTCCACCTCCGCCCACTCCGCCCGCCCCTCATGCCAGCCTCCACACCTGCCCAGGCCATGCAGGGCCCCCACCCTGAGCCTCCTTCCCTCTGGCCAGAATGTTCTGGTGCCCTCATCCTTTTAGATTTTCCTCAAATCCACCTCTAAGTGACGCCTCCTTGTCCCTCGATGGCCATAGGCAGAGAACAGAGAGCTTTGCCACCAATTTTCTATAATGACCTTTTCTGGGTTAAGTCCTAGACCCAATCCTCATCTAAGACAAGACACATTTCACTCCTCCATCTTATATATCACCCATCCTCACTAGATTGCAGGCTCCCCGAGACGAGGGTTGGTTGTTTTAACCCTTATCTCAGCGAAATCTTGTGGTTTTCAACATACAGGTCTTGCCCATATTTTATTAAATTTATCTCTAGATTTTTAATGATTGATGTTTTGCACATATAAAACACACATGCATATTTTGATTTCAATGTGAATTCTCTATCATTAGTCTGCGGGAATATAGAACATTTTAGAAACTTGACTTTATATTCTGAAATTTTGCTAAATCTGTTTCATTAGGTTTTTTTTTTTTAAGATTCCTAAGAATTTTCTACTTAATGTATTTCTGTGGATGCTTTTCTCCTCTTCGCCTCTGATCACCCTATCGTGCTGTAGAGAGGGCGGCTCCATCTGGGCAGTGGTGGGTGTGAAGACCCCTGTGCTCATCTGGGCTTGGGGAGGAGCGCCTGCTCACTGGTTCACATGGTACTAGTGGTGGACCTTCCCTGTGGATGCTTTGGTCAGGTTGGAGATGCTCCTCTCCACTTCCAGTGTGCTCTGAGTTTTTATGATAAACGTGTGTTGGATTTTCTCAAACAGTTCCTAATATTTTTGAGACGATCAGGCTTTTCTGCTTTTCAGTCTGCAGGCATTAGAAATGACACTGTTTGATCTTCCAGTGTTAAATGCACCTTGCACTCCTGAAGCAAATGTAGCCAGCCATGATGTAGCATCCTTTTATCTATGGTTGGATTCAACCTGCTCGCATTCCCTTGAGGATTTCTGCATCTGTGTGCATGAAGGAAAACTGTGGTTGTACTTTTTTGGTAATATCTTTGTTGGGTTTTCCTTTCAGAGTACTTCCTGACTTCAGAAATGGATTGGGAAGGATTTCCTCCTCTTCTCTAATTGTCCTATATCTAAGTCCCCTTTCTGTGGCTGTAACAAAATACCTGAGACTGGATAATTTGTAAAGAATATAATTTTGTTGGCCTCACAGTTCTGGAGGCTGGGAAGTCCAAGAACATGGCACCAGCATCTGCTCAGGGTCTGGTGGGCTTCTTGCTGCACCGTGACGTGGCAGAGGGCACCATGTAGCAAGTCAGAGCAAGGGTGCTGGCTTTTGAACGTCCTCCTTGTCTTATAAGGTCACTCGTTTTCTCTGGGGCCATCTCTCAGGACCTCAGTTGATGCCAATCACCACCCGTAGGCCTTTTCTTACTGGTGAACCCAAAGGACACATTCAAACCACAGTGTTCTCCACGTCCCTTAGAGCTGGGCTGATCTTCCTTAGTGGTTGGTGGGACTGGTCAGGAAAGCGGCCTGGGCCACTTCTCCTCGTGTGGAGCTTCAGCTAGTAACTTAGTGCATGAGCCTAGGGCTGTGCCTGTAAGAAGTTCTCCACTGGAGAGCCGCGGTCATGCCTGTCTTTCAGGAATTTCTCTATTTCTTTATCATTGACAAACTTACTAATATAAAGCTCTTCCAAATATCCTGAGATCCTTTTCATATCTGTAGTGATGGGAGCTGATGCTGCACCTCCGTCTCCATCTAAATAAATGAAGGAGTAGAACCTCAGTGGAACACGCTGGGACACCAAGACTGACACCAAGAGGACTCCAGTGGAACCCGCAGGAGCACCACTTTCTGAGTAGAGCCAAGCCACCTGTTGGTGGTGCTGGCTGGGACCACGCCACCCGAGTTGGTGGGCTCCTCGAGGCCCTACAGCCACACACCCTGGCCTTCCCAGCCTCCAGGCCCCCCGACAGCTAGGGACACTCGAGACTCAAGGTCCCCGTTTCCACCAAGCACCCCACACATTCAGGAC